GACATGGACTAAGAAATCATCATGAACATATATATTATCTTTTTGCACATTCTAGCTCCTTGTAACTTGTTTCCTCTTCTCAAGGTTTCTGGTGTCCCCATCATTTGTATCAAGAATTATTGACAATATTATGTATTTGTTAGCTTTATCAAGGAATTTCAAGTTATATGAAATTCTTCAGGCTTCAACCTGAATCGCTCAGAAGCAATTGAGGAATATTCCACGATGCTTTTAGATCTAATTGAGGGAATGAGATTATGGATCATCATCCAGATGATAGTTAGTTGTCTCTAACTAGACCGGTAACTCACTTAAGTCTGGAACTGTGATGAATTAAATATAAACAGAAATCCTGTTGTGCATATGTTAGCTCAATAAAGATCAGTAAGGTAGCTGCTAGTATTATTCTCTGTCTTGAGGTCCTCCTTGTACCAGTGTTTTCAAAAACAGATTGGTCACTCATATACATCAGTGTTACATATTAAAAAAATGTTTAAAAATCTGGCATATATTTATCTCTATTTATATAAAAGAAATAGTGGGAAAATAGGTTTCCAGTTACAACTAGTTTTTCCTATTTGGTTTCATACACTGTGGAAGAAATAATGCAGAATAGCATACTCAATATGGGGGCATTAGCATTGGAGTCTGGTTCAGGTTCTGAACTTCAGCAGACCAAAGAGGAACTTAGAACAACTCGTGATGTTTTACTTGGTAACTTCACAAGACTGTTGCTGGTGGAACTTGGGGATATCCAAGATCACTGAACGGAAAACACACAAGGAATAGAGAGTAGGTTAAGACTAATTTACAGCTAAGAATCTGAAGGGGAAAATGTCTTGACAGATTTAAAGCCTTGTTCTAATCTCCACTAATATTTCTCTCCCTAGAGAGCAGTTCTTCTGACCTCACCTAACTTTTTTAGTAACTCTTGAAAGGAACTGTAATCAAAATTCACTGCTCAAGACATGCAATGCAAGGTCTTGACTAGCAAAAAGCTTCTTTAGGCATGTTTGCTTTAATACCAACAAATCTTCATTTAGACCATGATTTTTATGTCTTTTTCTTAGGTATCTATAGTATTGTGGTGGTTGTTTTGCCACTGATCATTTTGTTAATGGGAATCTTCCCATAATCTTTCCCAATTATGTTTTTATTTCTGTAACTTGGGTGTTCCATCTCTCCTAATTTGCATTTGTTAAAACTTGTTAACCTTTCCTACTTTATTTCTGCTTTCTTTTCATTAATTTATATTTATCTATTTATTACAGAAAATACAGTTCAGATTTATAGACCCACAGAACTTTGTTTTTCCAGTAATTAAGCAAATTAACAATCTGCAATAAAGTCACTGCATCCTCATTTAAGTTGTCAGTTTAATGTAATTGTTTTATGATCCTAAAACAATTTTGCTAACAATAAGCCAGGCAAATTTCTCAGTTTTCTATAAAACATAATGTACCACTAACTATATAAGAAATTAATTTATAACATATTACTGGTATAACTTTTGTATTTTTTCTGCAATAATGCATAGTGCTATTTTCATATCGGCACTGAAGATAAAGTAATTCAAATAATTCAAACACATAAACTATGAATACTTGTTGCTAAATATAAATAAAATTGAGCTTCCTCAATAAAATAAGTATGAGCATAAATAAATAAAATAACAGCACAACAGCAAAAGATACAATATTCAACAATTATAGAGAAAAGTTCAATTAGCTCAATTTTTCAATTTCAAAGCCACTTCATATGGAGAAAATTATCCTAATTTTTGTGACACTCATGATACTTTCCTGTATATTAATGTATGCACAATTTTTGAACTAATATACTGTATATGTATTAATATGTAACTAATGTGTAATATCAGTTGTCATTAATTTGAAATTATTCTCTTAGAGTGACACATTAAAAAAATGATTACCATGCAAAGCTTGCTGTGGCTCTTGAACCTATGGAAGTGACACATTCCCAGTTATGATATGACTATCACTAAGCTTAATATTCCTCTTTACTAAGAACTCTTTTACGCTCCTGCTTCATGTTAAAATAGGATCCCATTTGTCCACATGCTTAACAGGACATTTGTGAGAAAATACACACACACACACAGTTTAATTCTAACAGTGGTAAATACCATCCGAAGAAAACCGTGGACACATTTTCAGTGCACTGATATCTGTCGGTGTTTTCTTCTGGGCTTTTTAAAAACAAAATTTCTATGAGGCTAAATTTTCCTGCTGATTCCACTACTACTACACCCTGATGCTGCATACATTTTTGTATCTATTCTTTTTGTATTAATTTTGGAACAGACTATTAAAATTTCAAAATTCACAAGCAGTGGGACTGCTCAGCTTTTGACATTTGGATTTGCACTAAAATCCATTGGTTGGAACTGCGTTCATTGTTCTCTGACAATTCTGCAATTCTGTAGCCTGGGAGCATTGTTTCTGATCCCATGTTTTATTATTTATATTAGTTCAAGTTAGGTTTATGTAAGCAAGAGAGAAAGAGAACAAGAAAGGACAACAGGCAAGATTGGGGTATTTAATATACATTTTCCCCAAATGGATAAGTTGTAGAAAGAGATTTGCAATTTTCTGTCTTAGTAAAAAATTGCATGACATATCCTTCTATATGTAATTTTTATGTGTTACTTTTCCATACTAAATTTCCATTTTTCTCTGCAATTACAGCCTGCTTCAGATTTGATTAAAGTATTATTAGTTTTTTAGAAACTAGAGTGATTGATTTCAGAGTATGTGTGACATATTTCTGAGTGATATATGCAATTGTTCTCCTGTGTATTTATATATTTCTATATTTTAATTAATTCATATTTTATAAATAAAACTTTAATATGATTATACACTTTGGCTTTTGTTAGCTGCTTACTACTTATTTTGTGATCGCCTCTGCCCACTGTTTATTCAACGTTGGGATAATCTGACAATAAAAAATAGAATTGATTAGTATTTATACTACTTGATCCCAGTGTTAATCCTCGTGTTCTTACATTTTTTAGTTTTCAAAAATGGCATTGTACCCATTGCAGTTCATTTTACTATTCATTCAAGCTTTTTGCTGCTTAAATTCTTATTCCCTAGCTTTTGAATAGCCTGGTAAAAAATATCACTGAACCATAAAACAGTTAACAATTTAGCTAGCTTCCTTCCTTCCTTCCTTCCTTCCTTCCTTCCTTCCTTCCTTCCTTCCTTCCTTCC